ATAAAGTTGACTTAAAAAAAGACTTTTACAACGTGTAAGAGCTGGAGCCGAATCAAAAGTCAGTGGTTGAAGTTGTTAAAATTAAAGAATTAAAGGCTCCTTTTCTCCAGCTGCTGAAGCACTCAGACTTGTTCTATAGTGAAAGAAATGTTGAGGTTTGTTTAAAAAAAAGAACTCTTACCTGACCTGATTAAAGGCTTTATATGCAATTTTTTGATCCAGCAGATGTCGCCCTTGAGCACCAGCATGAAACCAAAACAACTCGCGCTGCATTGTTGTGTTAGCATGCTAATGCTAGCGATCTTTATTCTGCTGGTATCTTCACACTGCATGTAAATTTACCTGAAATGAGCGTGATCTAGAAACACAGTTAAGCAGTGAGTACAGTATGTTATTCTTCTTTTCTCTAGTCCCTCAATTAAACAACTTTTATACACGAGGGGAGGAGTCAGCCGGCCGTCCCGGCGATGTAAACAAAGTGAAGATAGGACTCTGAAAACTCTGAAAACATCACAGACAGTGGGACTCGGGTGTTACACCCATTGTAGACAGTCATGACTCACAGAGTTATTTTCAGAGGAGATACTTGATTTCTACATTTAAGTGTGAAAAATCACATATTCAGCCTTTAAATGAAGATTGTGTTATTTGGCTAAAATCACAAATCATTTGTAGTTTGGTGTTGTCAAGTAGAAGTTAAAGAATAGGTTAAATATGTAAATCAATGGTTCCACACCTTGAGCTTGAGCTTGTTTATTTATTTTCTCATCTTCTGACTACTCAAAGCTGTTTCACACCGCAGGTCACACCTACACATTCACACTCTGATGGTAGAGGCTGCAGAGTAAACAGTCTTCCCCCCCAAGGACACATCGGACATGTGGCTGCAGGAGCTAGGGATCGAACCCCCAACTTTCCAGTTGAGAGATGACCGACTCTACCAACTGAGCCAAAGCCACCCCTGTAAAAGTTATGCTGAATATACCTTCACATGTCTCCTTACCAAAATATATTTGTTTAAATTTCTCAGTAATGTTTTAACATGATATTTATTTGATGTGTGCAAATCTAATTTTGACAATCCTCAGAGCAGACACAAGCTCCACGAGACCTTAGGCGCTACCCCTTAGAGGACCTGGACCCCAGTTTGGAACCCTCTGATGTAAATGATATTGAATCATGCATTGGGGGTTGTTTATGATTTGCACTCCTGCAAATGTAGAGAAATAAATACTAGCAACACCGAATTCCTGAAGTGCATGTGAAGGCCTCAAACGTCATCGTCCTAATTTCTCAAGGCATCTTAAAAATGTGGGCGCTCGGCAGAGGTCTCATTATGCCCGGCAACAAGTTTCACAAAGGGGGGGGGGGTTTGTTTCAAGCTTTTTCCTGTATTCACTGTATCTCGCTCACACACACACACACACACACAGTCTCTTGGAATGCATCGTTCCCTGAAATCCTGTAGAAACCAACTGACAGCACCACGCTTAAACAGACAAACGCACGTCTTTGCAGGCCGATGGATTCTTTGCCCAGCTGGATTGGACGTTTCCTCCCTGAATTCCGGTTTCATCTCAGTACTTTTCCACTGATATCTGACTCACAATTGCACTGCGCCTGAACCCGGAGACCCCCACTCCTCCACCCCTCTTCTCCAAACATCATTTGAGAGGTTTACACTAAGTGTATGTTTTATGTATGTGACTTGAATGCCTTTTGGATCTACAAGTTGCGTTACATCTTATTGCTGACTTACTCCTCAGGGACTACTGTACGTGTTCCACAGATAGTCTTTATTTCAAAACCTTTGCATACTAAGAAGGATACTTTTTTACATTTTTAAAAACCATACTTAATTGCCATCGTGTCTTGAGTCCTATCCAGTCTATTCCTCTGCTCCATAACCTTCTTTGTTCCAAAAGTGATTAAAATCCCATCAATGGGCTTCATTGTTCCATGTTTTCTCATTGTGATTAACACAGACTGTTTATTTTGAGTCAGTTCCAATTCACAGTGCTGCTCAGAAAGTGAAAAAAACCCAGCGCTAAAAATGGTTCCAAAGAAATGGTCGATTTTCTCCTCTATTGATTTTCTTTGGAAATTAGGGATGTTCCCAGCTTCTAATTTACCAGTGGATTAAAATTAGACAAGTTGACTGGTCTAAAGTAAAAAAAAAAAACACAACAGAAAATAGTCAAAATTGAGTTGAATGTATTAAAGGTTGCATGTTCTCGTCCTCTTCAAACCAGTTTCAATAAGTCTCAGAACTTTCCCAAAACTGTGCAGACAGTAGTGCAGGGAGAAAAGGCGCCTCTAGCTAGTGGCGGGCTGCAACATTGCAGCTTAGACACAACATTCAACGGGCATTTTGGACCTAGATAAATGCTAGTATTTCTGGTGCCAACATCTAGGATTGAAGTTTAAGTTACATGTATTCGTCCACAAATCGTGAACATCCCCAGGAATCCCTGTCTTAGAAAATAAAAAATGAAACTGAAGGCTTTATTGTGATTTTTCACACTTAAATATAAATCAGTATATCCTCTGAAAATAACTCTGTGAGTCATGACTGTCTACAATGGGTGTAACACCCGAGTCCCACTGTCTGTGATGTTTTCAGAGTTTTCAGAGTCCTATCTTCACTTTGTTTACATCGCCGGGACGGCCGGCTGACTCCTCCCCTCGTGTATAAAAGTTGTTTAATTGAGGGACTAGAGAAAAGAAGAATAACATACTGTACTCACTGCTTAACTGTGTTTCTAGATCACGCTCATTTCAGGTAAATTTACATGCAGTGTGAAGATACCAGCATAATAAAGATCACTAGCATTAGCATGCTAACACAACAATGCAGCGCCAGTTGTTTTGGTTTCATGCTGGTGCTCAAGGGCGACATCTGCTGGATCAAAAAAAATTGCATATAAAGCCTTTAAACTATATACATATATATATATATATATACATTTGTGGCCTTTTTATTTATTTATGTCCTCAGTACAAACATTTGGACTCGGGGCAAAGAGCCACACACACATGCTGATAAAGATTCTTACAGCTTGTCAGGAGAAGTCACGACTAAGTCTGCAATAAACAGATGATCAGAGTAGAGTGGTTATGAGGTAAAGATAAACGGCTTCTCCGACCTCCTTGTGGCACATACCAGGTCACCAGTCTGCATCAAGACATGCTGGAACCTTCTCCCGTCTGCCACATTGCACGATACGGCTCCAAACCACGGGCACCAGATCTGACCACACACTGACTGGCCTCAGGCACTTTGCAGGCTCTCATCATTGTAAACACTTAATTTAAATCCTTTGTTTAGTCAGAACCAGCGTGGCTGCCGCGGTAACGGCTTAATCACTATCTGTCAGTATGGCACCCTGCAGTTAGTGGCACGCTTGAATTTACTTTGGGAAAGGATCACGTTTCCCATTGACCCTATACAAGGGGGGGTTTCTGGCCCACTGGTGTGTTCAGGGTTTGACTCTAAAACATGCACTCTCGAGTTGAATCTTCTCATAATTCAGAAAAAAAAAAATTCTAAGACATCCTGTGTTTGGATTTCAAAAACCCAGGCTGCCTCATTCTCCGCCTGACTTTAGAAATAAATCAGACTTAAAAGATTTCCCTCCGTTTCTTCCTTTTGGCGGGTCCCGTTCCAGTGACAAACATGAGAGTTTAGAAGGTATGCAAGTTTTTCCTGCAACGCCTGGCCCCGATCAATGTCACCTTTCAGAGGGGCTGGACACAGGGCAGAGCGGGGGGGGCTGCCACAAAGGGGCTCTTTCAGCATGAGAGCCTTTCCCCCATGCTGACCTAAATCTCCTCCTCTCCCCTCCGCCTGGTAGCAGCTATGCAGATATTCATCCTTCAACCAGGCTTCACAGGGAGCAGAAACGTGTGTCTGTAGTCCTGGGGTCAGACCTGAGGGGTAGAAACATGGACCTCAGGGGGGGGGGGGGCTCAAGTGTCTACAGGGTTTGGGTGCTAAAATGTAAAGGCATATGAATGGAGGGTCAGACCTTGAAGTCGTGCTCTCACCCTCCTGTCTGACATGTGTTCTGTTGTCCCCACTTCCTATAGGGGGGGGGGGGGGCTGTTCTGTCGTCAGCCGCACAGCCCCCGTCTGTACAGCTTTCATAGAGTTACATGTACATGTTTGCACTCGGCCCCTAAGGTAAACTGAACTACATTCGCACTGATGTACATCATCACACCACACCCCAAACACTCAGGGCTGCTTCCTGAGGCGGAGCAGAACCCCAGACCAGACCAGACCAGGCTTGATCTTTCCTTCAGGTGACGTGTTCAGTGTGGAGCTATGCTCGACACACTTTCTGATGAACTGGTGATAACACAATAAAAGGCTCGATGAAGTGGCCGTGATTATTCCCAGACACTGATCAGAGTCATCAGAGAGGACTGTGGAACAGTTCAGAATCTAAAGTTGCACTTTAAGTTTAAGTCACATTATTCACCATGCACCAGTTGCTTTTTGAGCATTCTTAAGAATCACACTGACTGGAACAAAAACTTCACAGACATGTTTTGAGGAGCTCTGAGACTTATTTAAAAAGGTTGAAGAGGAGGAGAATATGTCACCTTCAATATAAAGTGTTACCATAGTTACTTTATTCTGAATAAGTAGAAAAAAAGGCCTCTTCAGAATAACAGATCTTTATATCTGTGTATATTTATTTCATTTACTGCACATAGTTCTGTTTACATCTGTTAGTCCGATCACTGTCCACTTATATCTACTTTTTTATATTTTGTATTTTAAGTTAAGCTTTAAGCTTTAAGTTGTATTTAAATTGAAAATTTATATTTTAGGTTTAAAATGTTTCGTCTACCTGCACTGTTGTTAATTTACTGCTCTGTGTGCCTTTGAATTGCCCCCCGGGGACAAATAAAGCTGATTTAATAATAAAGTTCAAAATAAAGATGAAAACAAAATACTTCCATAAAGACTTTTATTACATTTTGTCAATAAATTAAAAAAACTTTTCTGAGTTAAAAAAACAAAAAAAAAAACGTTCACACATCTCTCAGAAAAAAAAAAAATTGCAGAATGTTTCTTCGGGAAATCAAATGAAACGAGCACATTTCAAAGCAGGGAAGAGAAAATCCTTTCAAGTAAAAACAAAAATATTGAACTTCATTCAAACAGAACTCATATTGAATTCTGCCATGTCTTTTTTTTTGTTGTTGTGTGCAATATTCCAAAAATAAAGTTATTTTTATTGGGCACAAATTCAACTTTAAATAAATTACAAAAACTTGCACTCCACCAAATAGTGACCTGAATCTCTAATGCACGAACGAGGATCGATGGAAAGCACCAGTCGTCAGTCTTGAAGCAATGACAGTTATTTGTTAACAGAATAAATGGAGTCAGTGAATTCAACCTGAAACACAGCAGCTATGAGTATGCTAGCGTAGTTAATCTAACTGCAGGCAAAGCTACCAGTGTGTCTGAATAATGGCTATGACAGTGTAAAAGCTTTAAAGTTACAGTACCAGTTCATCTTTGCTGGATGTTTTCAACCTTCACAAAGAAAACAAATAATGGAAATGTGTTTCTTTCTAATCTGTGCTTCTTATCGTTTCACCTCCCTTTCTCGTCTACTCTGTTTGACAGAGATTCCTTTAATGCCATCATTTTTTCTTTCAGTTTTTGCCTTGAAAAAGAATTGCATCATCAGCAAAACATGTAAGGACACAACACGTCAAATGACAGGGGGGAGAAAAACACACACACACACAAACTTGGCAAGAAAAAAAGGCAAAGCAAGGTCAAGAGACTAATTTACATAAAAGTTCAGTTCAAGGGTCGATGAAGGAGACTGCGATGTAGCGCGTGCCGTTGGTGGTGGGCAGGCCTTCGTGCAGATGAGTCAGTCGTCCCGGGTGCATGAAGCTCCAGCCTTTCCTCGGTGAATTAATGGAACAGTTATACCTATGGAAACGACAACCTCCACCCTAGAAGAGGAAGAGGAGAGAAAGGAAGAAAGAGACAAATGGTTACAAATTGAAATCTTGATTAAAACTGGAGCAATATTTAACGTTTATTTATTTAAAGTGGTTAAAATGGGTACTGCAGTCTAAATTCTAAACATTGTAGAGAGCTGTCTCCCCCCCCCCCCCCCCCCCCCCCGAATTAATTTGAAAACCGGCCGTTGTGGATGAAGTTTGCCAATAGCTTTCTTACCTGAAAGTCTGTGTCTTTGTTATTCAGGGCGATGTTGATGGTGAAGGTGGAGGAGTCGTGATGGGGCCTCAGGTACGCTTGCCTCCCAGGTGTGTATTTAACCACAAAGTTCATTACAGCGTAACCCTGTGAGGAAGGCACAGAAGTACATGACGTCAGCTGACTGTCTGTTAAAGCTCACACTGAGCATCGCTTTTTAGCATTTAGGTCAGACCGACCTTTGTGTAGTATCCAGAGAAGACTTTTAAAGTGACGGGGGATATGAACTCTCTGATGAAGTGCAGCCACTCTTTGTCGAAGCCGATCTGCTTCATGTGAATGTCGTCCGTCGGCACGGTCTCGTAGCCGCCGGTGATCCGCTTGTCCTGAGAAAAAAAGAGAAAAAAAAGAAAAGAGAGAGAATAAAAAAACACAGCAGAGTGATTAAGGCTGGGATAAATGACCTGCCTTCCTGGATATGAGGCTGACCACAGTTTTCAAAGTGATGATGACGTGTGTGTGTGTGTGTGTGTGTGTGTGTGTGTGTGTGTGTGTGTGTGTGTGTTTGTGTGTCTCTAGAACCGCAGGCTGCTCTGTTGTCTGTCTGCGTGAGGCTTAATGATCCATCCAGCTCGGTCGTTTCCCCAAACACAGTGAGTGAGTCAAAGTATCTGGGCACATTTTGTCTGGGAGGCAAACTTTTAAAACACGTTGAATACCAATAAAATGACATGAAACAGACCGCATGAATTATAAACCATTCACATAAAAACAGAACATCATAACCATTTATTTGGCTACATGTGAATGACAGACCTGCAAATGATAGTCGTTAAATTAAGCATGTGAGGATAAGTGAGCTCCAGTCATGTGTGTGTGTGTGTGTGTTATGCATGTCAGAACAAATATACAGCATCAGAATTCAAACAGGAGCTGAAGCAGACCTCAACCTCTCCCCCTCCACCACAACGACGGTAGTTTGAAAAGTAACATCCCACCGAGCCATCAAAGCCAACAAACACATCACACTACCATCAAGTTTAGTAGGCAACATGTGGCTCTTTTTTCCCCTTCACTCCTCTCTGTTGGGTGCTCGGCTATTAACTATACCGAGACTCTAGAAAAATGATCAAACTCTGGCAATTAAAAAGTTAGTGAAGTTATTTTTTTTTATTATAAAATGGTTTTCTGTAGACTACAAAATGAGCTCTGCTGTCTCCAGCTGTGCTAACTGTGAGCTAACACTGCTGGAAAGAGGCCAAAAAAAAAGCTATCGTCACATTTCAGTGTTGCTGAAATAATTAAGTAAACAGAGATGACTCCCAGTTACTGCTCGCATCAAATTTAAAACTCTGCTGCTCGCTTACAAAACAGACACAGAAACGTCTCCTTACTTTAACTCTCTGATCCAGGTCTACACTCCCTCCCCCACTACGCTCTGCCAATGAAAGGCGTCTGATCCAACCTTCACAACAGGGTCCTAAGACGCTGACTAGACTCTTCTCTGTCGCCCCCCGGTGGTGGAATGAACTTCCAAACTCCATGTGATCTACAGAGTCCCTCTGCACCTTTAAGAAAAAGCTAAAGACCCAGCTCTTTCATGAATACCTACTAACTTAATGATGATGGTCTCCATATTATTGATGATGATGATGATGGTAATGACAATGGTTTTTGTTTGATAACGACGACTTATAAGATGGTTTCTATACTGATTAGAGCTCTCAAGAACTGCCCTCAATGTTGTGCTTTGCCTCTGGTCACTTCCTGTCAGCACCTGTGTGTCCAATCAGACTCAAAGCTGATCGTTTGCTCTTACTCACATTGTTCCCTTTTTTCTAGATCCTTGCTTGTGTTGTTCTTACTCTCTGATGTACGTCGCTTTGGATAAAAGACTCTGCTCAGTGAATTGTAGAATGAAAAAAACGTAAGAAGAAAGCTTATCATGTGAATACGCTGTACTCAAGATAAACTAGCAGCACTGACCTCGTGTCTGCCTCCAGACCAGGTCCCGTAGTGCTCCATCTCCTCCACTATTTCATCACAGGCCTTCTCTGAGAACACTGGGAACCAGAACACATCTGGACAGGGCTGCAACACACACACACACACACACACACACACACACACACACACACTTAGTGGCTCAGACAGACTTTCATAGAACAGACTTCAGGCACACCTTCACCTCGAGCTGTAGTGGATGTAATGTAATATTCAGAAATGTTAAAAACAGATGTTGGGCTTTGTCTGTGATATTATGTCATTCTCTTTCTCTGTCTCACCGTCTGTCTTGAGCAGATGCAGACACACACACACACACACACACACACACACACACACACAATACCTACCTCCTCCATGTAGTTCTGAGTGAAAATCTGAGTGTAATTTTGGTGGATGTACTTCTCCTTCCAGTCCTGTGAGGAGAAAGAATTTTTCGATCAGTGCCCGTTTAGTGCAGACTGTTTGCTGACCCGCATACCTCACAGAGATAATCCCCCTCTCCCACAGGGCAGGGTGCCAAATCCAGGAGTAAATCTCAAACCTTATCAGTCCGCAGTCTTATCACATTCGAGTCATTATTTCAAAATCGTCTCACATCTGTAATCCCCCTCCCGTTAAGGGGTAATAACCGTTTGCAGGTGGCTGAGGTTTTATTCCAGCTATTTAGAAAAACAAATGTGTTGAGGAATAATGAGAGAGTCTAATGACTTACCACTGGGTTTTCAAATATCTGCCACAAGTCACTGTTGTAATGTGAAATGTTATAATTGGCCGTGGAAATGAGCCTCCCGAAGTCGTGACGGTTTGTAATGTACATGAAGACACCCTGCAGCCAACGGAGGAAAAAGTTGAGTCAGTTCCACAAACGGGGAAAGTTGAGTTACATGTCACAGGAAGGATTTCTAACATCATCTACATAACTATAACACATGCACATTTTACAGTTCTTAAGCATACTGCAGGTTGTCATCATAGTAACACATCGATGGTTAGCATTAGCATTAGCATATAACCTGACCAAACTGTTACTTGTTGCAAACTACTTCAAAGCTTCATTTGCATCAAAATGAAAATAAAGTGTGATTTAAGTGTGCTTATTAAACACACTGAAATCCGTTGTTTGTCACTTTAGATAGACACAGATGCCGTATAAATAATCTATGATTATTTATGTGTGTTTGGGGGGCTACAGGGTGTTGGTGTCGGGGGACAGGAGAGGAGGGGGCAGTGAGGTGAGAGGCTGGGGGGGGAACAGGAACAGAGAGGTGTTTGGAACAAAGCAAATCCAGGAATGATATTCCCTCTGCAGTGAAGCATGGGGGGGGGGCTGTGTAGGGCTGGATTTGGACTCACTATCAGACTAGGCTTTGCCGAGATCAAAAAGATGATGAATTGGGAATGATTAAACAATTTCCTGGTGTAGGTTTCCAAATTGTTTGTGTCAAAAAATCAAACTGTGAAAGCTGTGATTTTAACCAGGAGGAATTTTCATGAGTTAAAAGGAATTTCTTTTGGAGCCTAGTCTGAGATCAGTCAGTGTGTTTTTAAAGAAAGCAGCTTGTTGTTTTTCTGTAAAGGGTTGGCTGTTCATTGTAAAGCATCAGGACAGGGGGGACTTGCATGTGAACCGACTCTCCAACCTTTCTCCTCCTTCATTTCCCTTTTTGGAAGGCATTTTATAAAAACAGGACAGACATCATTTATTTTTTCATTCTCTAGCTCAGACACAAATCTCTGCTTTTAACAAAAAAACTCAGGCAAAACTTCAACATCAATTTCCAAAGAGCTGCCAGCTCCTGATATGAGGATAGGCAGCGAGAAATACGATTTCAAATATGTTATTGCCAAATCTGTTTAAAGGTCACATATTACACAAACTACACTGTACTATGTTTCTCTAACTCTAACATGTGTCTCTAATCTGTCTACAAATCCCCCTAACATAAGAAAAGTCCATCCTCTCCGTCTTTCCCCTGCTCCACTATTCAGAAAATGTGTGCTCAAACAGGCCGTTTGAAGATTTTCCCTTCATGACATCACAAAGGGCAGTAGCCCCTCCCCCAGGTGGGTGACACTCCCACAGCTAGGTGTTTGTTCTGAACCTCTGAGTCTGCCTTCTCATCGTAAACAATAGGACATGGAGCGAGAAAGACTGAGACACCCAAGCCCCTTCCAGAGAGGGGGCGTGGTCAGACACAGCTCATTTACATATTTAAAGGTACAGACACAGAAACAGCCTGTTCTGAACAGGGCTGAAATAGAGGGGTTTATAGACATGATCAAATACAGGATCAGAGTGGATTTGGAACAAGAAACTTCACACACATGTTTTAAGGAGCTCTGAGACTTATTTAGACTTGTTTAAAAAAAAAGGATAATATGTGACCTTTAACCTTAATAAATACCTACATATTTATGAAATTTCAACTCAACCGGGCCAAAAACATCCCAAATCGCATTAAGCACTTTGTATGTGAAATGAGCCAAAGCTCAGAATGGTTCCTGATTGCTAACCCATTGGAAATGGATGTTTCAGGAAGCAGAATAATCAAAACAAATGGACACCTTTGGGGGCCTGAGCATATGGAATGATTCCGGAGAAGGGGAGTCTTTTTCTCTGTGACTGGTCTAAAATAAAGGAGAAGCATCATGTAAATAGGATAACATGAATCACGATTTCAGAATAAGAGACAGGGTGACAGTTGAAACATATATATGTCACATACATAGCAACTTGGGAGGAGAAAATAAAAATGCATTAAAAAAAAAGGAGCAAGGTTCCCTCTGAAGCTGATGTTTTTGTGGATTAATACGGGAGGAATGCATGCTGGCTAAAAAGACAATCCAAAAAGAAAACGCAGTTTGGATCAGGCATGTTTGTTAATACAGGTGACATGAAAACACAGCTGCTCACATTGTGCAAGAGGAACGAAACGCACAAGAAGCAAGATAACTTTTTAGTCAGCTAGTCGCCGGGCAGACACTTTGTGGTCATGTTACAAGGCGGGCAAAGAGAGAGTGAAGGCTGATGGGATACAAAGGGGCGCATTTAAGCACCACAGAGAAACGGTGAACAGAGGAGGGTCATGCCTTCACAACCAACAAAAAACATTGAAAACAGCTGATACTTGCCGTCTTTTGGATTCCGTAGCGCTGTTGACTTTTACGTTAAGATTCATTGTGTATTTCACCAGCAGGACTAAAATCACATCGCTATGTTTCTGCACATTTTCTCATATGGATATTCTTCACAGTGGTTGCAGCCAAATGCACATCTCGACAATGTGTTTACATAAATGTGCCATGAAGATCGATGGCTCGGCACACTTACCATTTCTCTTGCATTCCTACACAAAGCCATATCAGGATCTAGTTTCTCCAGGACAAAGAAGTTCCTTTCCTTCAGCTCATTCCTCAAGGTAGTGCCCTTGACAAGGTATACATGTGCCATAAAAGGAATGTTCCACACACCCCTAGAAACAACAAGACAGGAGCAGGAGTTGGGAAGTGCTCATTTGCATTGACCGTTAAACTATGCAGTTTTTGAATCTGGAGGTGTAATGTGAAGGTCATTGGGTACGGTTTTAGTGGGTGACATGGTAAGAAAGAAATCTCTTAAACCTCTTCAGGATATTGAGGCCATTTCCCTTTGTTTATTTGGATGGGAAGCCTGAATGCTGTTGTTCAAAGTTTGATGTGGCACTGCGGGGTTTCAGGTACTAAAACGTACAAAATCGGACTCATCGTTGATGGGGTCGGTCGTCTCTCATCCGGACGGTCGGGGGTTCGATCCCCAGCTCCTGCTGCCACATCATGTCCAAGCAGAGGCTGCCATGTAAAGCATCCATCACAAGTAGTACACACATTCATACACCACCAACGAAGCAGCAGGAGCAACTTGGGGTTAAGTGTCTTGCCCGAGGACACATTGGACATGAAGATGCAGGAGCTGAGGATCGAACCCCAGACCATCCGGTTAAGAGACTCTACCTATGAGCCACAGCCACCCAAAAAAATTGAATACAGATTTTTCGGTCATATTTCCGGCTTTAATTCTCAGTATGACATCACTGCTCATCTTTAACATCATCATCATTAGAGTGTATTAATAAGTTATGAGGACAGAGCAGGATAGTGTGTGTCATGGTGTCTCTGATTTAACAAAAATGAGAATGACAGACCTGCAAATGATAGTCGTTAAATTAAGCATGTGAGGATAAGTGAGCTCCAGTCATGTGTGTGTGTGTGTGTGTGTGTGTGTGTGTGTGTGTGTGTGTGTGTGTGTGTGTGTGTGTGTGTGTGTGTGAACCATACAAATTGCCTCCATTGCACTTGTGACTTACACACGTTTCCTCTGCACAATGTCGACATAATCCTCCGAGCGAGCGTAATAACCATCCAGACTCAAGGCTCCCCAGAAGTTGGACCACAGCTTGCTGTGACGAGTGACAAGGGGGCCAATTATTTTTCTGTAGGGGAAGCAGGAGAGCAGAGCGGAGAGACGATTATTCTGTCGGAGCGGATAAAACTCAAGTGACATCTCACAGACATTCGACCACGTAATGCACTCGGTCTCTTAAGAGCTAAAGCTAGCGTCGCTGCATCGATGAGATCAACCTCTCCTCGGAGAGATATGAAAAATCTGCCGAGGGCTTTTAAGATCACAGAAGTGTGTAAATTCAACCAGGCCCCGAGCAGGAAATCATTTCTAAACTGGATTCAGATACTGTAAGTGTAACCAATCGCTGCAGGAAGCTGTTTTTTCTGAACCCTGAATCTGCTCAATTTACTGGAATTTGAAAGAAATACTAACAACAAGAATTTTCCACTGCTGTCTTTCAAACCTCAACCCCAAAGAAAGGGATGTTTCTTTCCTCTATCTGAATTAAACTTGCCAATAATTGAGCCGTAAATGACAGGGTGGTTTGGTATGGATGCGCTGCAGCACTGAATACAAATGCTTCACGCTTGAGACAGTTTGGCCTTTTCCTTCCCACAGCTTCAGTCCCAGCGAAGAATTCTCATGCTGTCCTTAAATAATCCTACAAAATCTTTTTACTTTGCATGCGTCCAACAGGACTCGATGCCACCCCACCGCCACATTACGTCGAGTTTTTACGGGAAAGTTTCTTGAAAATCACAAGCTGCAAAAGGGGAAAAAAAGGGTTTGCATGTTTGTTTTTTGTGTAATGCAGAGTGGCATTTCGGGGTTTAGGGCAATTTGACTCTCCCTCTCTTTCCATGTGGCTGGGGAGAAAACAGGAAGCCAGGGCGTCTTATTTTTAAACTTTTTATTCACTCAGCTGTAATGTTCATGTGGTTTTGCCACTTAAAGGGACAACTTCCAACCGCTCACAGTCACAACAAAACTCTCTCTTTTTGTTCCAAACAGCACAATGTGATTACCTGTTCTGCTCGACGAGGAGCTTCAGCGTCTGTCTGTTGGTGAGCATCACATCCGAATCGATGCTGAAGTAGAAGTCGCATGTGGCATCCTTGCGGCAAAGATGCCTAATGAAATCGAAAACAGACACACAGGAGAAAAGTAGCGATTACTCAATCCGCCGTTGATTACAGTCGATGACATACTTGGAAGTAATCACAGAGAGTCGGACTCTTGGATAAATGTGATTTCAGGGAAGATTAGAGACTGCTAATGTGACTCAGACGTCCTCATTAAAGGGCTGTCCTGACCAATGCTTGCATGCTTTTGATAGTACCTCTCTGATGAGGCCCTCACAGATTGAATTATCACCATGACAACCGACTCATACTTGGCAATGGGAGAGAGTTAGCCCAAAGGAGGAACTGAGGACTGCACCTGTTAAGATTCACAAATCAGAGCTTCTACCAAAAGAGAGAAGACATCGAGTCTGGAGCGCGTCCACTGAGCTGACAATATTTCATCTACTCTATTTGAATACTTATAAATGGATCAATACCATCACATATTTCTGGAACATCAGAAGACTTTCTGAAACAGTAAGAATCATGCATTTTGAGGTTAAACTAAACAGGAAAATTCTCCTTCAGGCTGAAATTATTTGGAGCTAAAAAAAAAATCCCTTCATCTGGTTGAATTCATTTCTTCCACCAAAACCCAACTTCAAAGAGATATTAGACCCACATGCCCATGTTCCTGGCCTCTCCTTGGCTCAGATTCTCCTCTGGTCCCACAACCTTGAAGCTGTTGAACGTGTTCCTGTTCTCATCCCAGAACCTCTGGATGTGCTTCTCGTGGTAAACCTCCTAAGAGTAAGATAACTGGTATTAAATGCTTTAAAAAAGAGAAATGCATTAAGCTGAAACATGGTTCATGATAGAGATCTGGTGTTTGAAGAAACACTCTCACTCACATTATTGTGGATGAAAAGGTTGAGTTTATCTTTGGGATAGTCCAGGGTCAGCAGCTGCTGGAAGAACTCAGGAAGGAAAGGAGTGGGCTGCTCGATAAAAACTCCAATGAGAACATTTGGATACTCCTGTTTAGAGAAAAAGTGGAAATAAATTAGTACTATTTCAAACACAGCAGCTTTACTGTGGAGCACTTTAACATAAATCATTGTTGAATTTGACACTTCAGGCGTACACAGAGAGTGAGGTCTTTACATTAACGTCTCTCTCTGCAGTGCTCTATTTTAAAAACCTCGAGGTTTACAGTAAGCAATTTGGGCTGGAACTGATTGGACTTCTCCTGCTCCTTGAGACCAGACAGTTATTGTGAGTGATCTAATAAACTCCCACTACATGAACTGCTTTTAAAAGCATCCTAACTGCCACGTACAGAGTACAACCAAAGTACCAAAGCAAGGAAGATATAAAGAGACATAAAAGCAAGAGAGACAAGAGAGACAAGAGAGGAGAAACATTTTCCCATGACACTCGAGTTCCAGCCCACACAGCTCGGTCTGGAATCCCTGATCCTCTTGACCAGTTCACAGCAAAGGTCTGGGCCCGGCATGAAAAGAGGATCGGCGCAGAACCGTCTAATTTGCAAGTTCCGCAATGACTGTGTTTAGAGCGCACAAGTACTGGAACTCATGCATCTTTCAGATGTGAGCGTACATTTGTTATGGACACACAGAGGACAGACAGAAAAGGGAAAGGAGAGGCACAAACAACAGAGGGAAGCATTCATTATGCATCAAGGCAGGAGAAAGTGACAACTGGACTTCCTTTAGAACACAGAAGACAACGCTGGAGAGGTCCAGCTCGCTCAGTGAAGTGTAACACAGCGAGCTGCCATGGGGAGTAAACCCAAAACCAAAAGTACACAGAGAACCAAACCAGACAGCCAGTGACCTGGTTTTACCCCAGTATGACCGGTGTTCCCACATGACCTGAAACTCCACAAGTCTAAGTCTCATAAACCCAGCGTGGCACAGTCCAATGAGATGCTTTTCCTAACTTGACCCCTTATTGAGAAGCAGCAGTGTTTTTGATGATTCACTATGGAAGGTCACTGAGAGCGTTCCTCACAGAGGGGCCTTTCATGACGCTGCGTTTGTGTTGAATCAGCTCCAGTCAAAGCAATCGAAGTAGAATTATTTATAGAGCATACAGGAGCACAACAGATGTGCTGTTTATGTATTGTGACGGCCTGCAAGTTTGCTGCCACTTACTATTAATACCATTATCCATTAATGTGCTGGTCATTTTCATGATGAATGGATTACTTGTTAAATCTGAAAAACATCAGAAAATAGAGAAACATTTTCCCAGAGCCCAGAGTGAGGTCTTCCAAATTCCTATTTTTGTCCAAACAACAGTCAAAAGCCCAAAGAATATTTATTTGTTCTCATAATGGAGAAAGAAAAGCAGCAAATCCTTTGATTTAAGAAGCTTGAAGAAGCAAATTGTTGGACTTTTCTTGAAACAGGAATAAAATGGTTATTGATTATCCAAACTGTCTGCAGCTCTAATAACAAAGAGAACATCCACACCAGGATAATAGAATAGATTCACTGGGATCTTGTGCATGCTGCAAAACTGTGTCCACAAAGGAAAAAGAGAACGTTTGCTAACATTGTTGACAGAAGCCGCCACAGCCCTGAGACATTTCCTCTCGCCTGCCATTCCTCCTCCTGTCTATACGTCGCCAGGCTTGGCTGAACCCTGTGACAAATTTTCAACGTAACCACCATAACTTGGATAAAACCCGTACTGAAGGCTCACTAAAAGGCAGGCTGGTCGACAGTGACACCCCTTTAAATGAACCCTTCTGAAAACCCCAGAAACCATATCCTGCACCGCAGTAGTGCTGGGCTTCCACTTCCCAGAGGAGTTTCCCTGGCAACTTATTCACTTTTAAAAAGGGTCCAAAAGGACCGACGGGCACATAACCTGTTTCTGTTGGAAAAGAGAGTGTATGTGCAGCGCAGACCAGTCCTGCTTATCTGTTGAAATAGGATGGACTGGGCCGCCCCTCCTGCTGTCTAGACAGACACACACACGGTGGATGACGGTTCATACTGGAAGAAGAGGTGATGTTTCATCCTTTCCTACGCCCACAAATACCAACTTTCTGCAGCTGCACTTTAAATATGGGGCGGCAAATAGAAGAGAAAATGTCTTAATTTGAAGCACTTACTTTTAACTGAGACAAATCCACAGTGTCATCATCACAGTGGCTACACCCATGCTCGTAGTTCCAGGTATTGGGGACGTAGTTGCCCAAGTAGTTCAAGTACATCTGCAAAAAAAAGAATTCAGAACAGGTGAATGCCTGGTTGCAGAAGTTTTATATTAAAGAAGCCCCTTTTTTTTATTACACTGAGTTGTTAGGAATATCCAACTTCAGAATTTGGCCCCGGAATATTTAGTCCAAAGATTTGGATTTGTAGAGGTCAAAAAGCTCCAGCAACAACTGTAGTATGAAGATCAACTTCATACTTCAGACTACTTTTTTGACCTCTTCTAGCCTTTCACTCTTCATGCACATTGGTAGTTGGAATTTGGAATAAGATGGGATTGACAGGCAGTCACTTCAAAGACTTAAGAACACTGGCTAAGAACGTCTCTTTCTCTCAGTGTATGTCTATGGTTTGAGATCATGTTGAAAGATGTTTTCTTACCAAGTATTTCTTCCTCATGCTGATTCTTGTATCTACATGTAGACTTAAGTGTTGGCCAGTACATACCACCCCCTGATACTAGTATGATAAAAAATGTGCATAATATTGTTGGAGTGGCTGACATTTTGTTAGCTGTGGCTAGCTCTTTATTTTCCTCTGGCGACCGTTTTGACTGGCAAACATGTAACTGTTTTTTTGGCCTTTTTGAGGAAAGAGTGGGTTAATGACATGCAGCAAAGGGTATTCGAACCCACAGCCGAGGACTATAGCCTCTGTACATGGGGTGTGTGACATAACCGCTAGGCTATCTGGCGGCTATTAGGCAGTAGCAGAGACTGATACCAAAACTGTACAAGTTTCGAAATGCTGCTAATTACAATTACAAAGTCATAATAGATAAAGAGATTCAGCAGAACCCACTGCTTGGACAAAGAATTCTATGATCAACTATTATTTAGAGCGTCTCCCGCAGATGTTGGGGCCTCCGGGAAGAATGACTCAATAGTTTTGTTGGCTTTGGTTCAATACCAAGGAAGACCAGAGACAGACAGCTGGAGGTGGAGCAATGGAGAGAGGTGAAAGACCAGAATCAAACCTAACAGGATGATCATACAGACGTCCTGCTATCAGCCCTTCACTCTGAAGGAATGCTAGCCTCGGTTTAGCCTCCTCTTGCCCTGCACACTAAGTAATGATTTGGATTTCATAGAGTTTTTGGCTACTACCACTGGAGCAGTATATGTATTTCCTGGACGTGTCACAAGTCTATGCAGTGAAATGCAATGATCGGCCCAAATTTTTTGAGTGGATATCAATCTAAAAGAGAAGGTCCAAAAGAAACTCATCTACACATGTGGGAAAGGGAGTTCAATAATTCAACAGCTCGACGTTCTCGATGAAAATTATAAACCTGAAACCATGCTAGCGCCATATGCTAGGTTGAGCCCCTGAGGCCGTCATTTCTTACTCACTTTGGTGTTTGCGTTGCCATGGACAACCACTGGCAGAGAGTCATACACGGTGTTCCTAACTCTCACGCGGTCTGATGCAAACTTTAGAAGCACTTCATCTGCAAACACATCGAGAAAAAAAAGAAATAGACATTTCAGGGCGGGGTTATGAAAATGTGGGGTTATGAGAGCCTTTAAAGGTTCAGGGGGAAATGTGTTCACTACAGTGGCTCATAACACCAAAAATCAGTAGGAAGTACAGATAAGTTCACAATATGAAATAAAATAAAAATAGAAATAACAATATAATAAGCATAAGTACCAAGTGAAAGCAATAATAAAGTAGTATAAGTAATAAACTATGTTCAAGCGCATATTTACAAATATGAATATACACTGATGGATTAACAGCGTAGATATTACACGGTTCATGTATAGATAACACATTTGATGTTTAAATATTGTCCAGTTTTCAACAGAGTGCACAGTTTTAGTAAAGAAGAGTAATATAAGAGTTATTAACTTACGACCGATGGTGATTTGCCAAGTCTACAAGTTCTCTGAAAATACCTTTACAATCTTTCCCAGAGTGTGGGGGCCAAACAGTAGACTACATGTCGGGCTTATGTTAGTGAAGAAAATGTTATTAAAAGCCCAGTTTTCTTCTTTTTTGTTTTTTTGCAAGTATCAGTGTGAAACTGTTGGTTTGAATACCTTGCTCTCAAATATTTGATTTATAACAAACAGATCAGCAGAGACTCTGATAGTGGAATTTAGTTTTGCAAGATTTCTCACCAACAGCCCCATTCAGGTTCTGGAAAATTTGGCACTTGTGGTCCAAAGTCATATTGAGAGATTCCTGAAAAAGACAGAGAGTATCTTAGCCATCCAGGATTGTTTCTCTAGGGATATGTTCACACCCAAGTGTTTGCCGTTGACTCAAAAATACTCACTCGCTTTAAGGGATCCAAGTATAGTTTAGTGTAGAAGAGCTGGTCATCGTCGTTGTCGTGGAGATTCCACTGAGAAACAATTCTGTGTATGTGCGGGGCGTAGCCGATGATACCTGCAGAGGAAATAACAGTGTGAACCGCACAAATCCAGCTGTAAAGTGCAGGGTTGGGAAAAGTTTACGAGGTCATATAGGCTACCACTGGCAGACTGTTGGCGACAATTACACACTATCTGCTGGCTTCATGGTGGAAAGCCTTCACTGTAGGAAGCCTGAGCGCCCGACGCAAAGTGTGATTCTTGGCAATAATCCCAAACACACACGGAATGGGCAGGAACTTTTTCTTCCCACAGACTGAAGATAGAAAGGAGTGCAATAATGGGGCTGCAATCTTGTGGGACGGTCTGTGCGAGTATCTCACACCCTATCGAAAATGTACATTCTCATGGCGATCTCTCTACTCCAGCTCTGCCCAGCTGTCTCCTTGGTTTTTTCCCTTTTCGTGCTCCAGGACACTGACCACAGAAAAGTGCAGATTGCAGGGTACGGCTGTGTAGCTTGTCTGCGCCATTTTGCATCCCAGCATTTTAAAAAAAGAAGCCTTGGACACTGTAAACAAGTCAAAGGATAGACATGACATAATCCCGATGTCTGGAGCGAGGCACAGTTGAAAGGAAATCATGACATTTTAATGTGACTCGTTTTGACGGTTGCTTATCCGCAAAGTGATGGCTTTAAAATCGACAGATCCTGAAAAGCCCTGGGAACTGCAGGCCCCAATGCTTCTGGAAAAGTTCACTGAGTTACTCGGCTGTAAAACACAGTAAACAATATGCAACTCCAACGTTGTAAGAATATTATATGCAACATGGAATTCAACATTTTATTTTATATCTGTTCTGACAGTTTCATTGACTGCTTTCTGCAAACCTTTACCAGCAGTCCCAGTGGATCAGGTCCCTTCTCTCACATGTTTTTTTAGTTTTGGGAGTGAGAAGATAAGATAACCTCAGCTAAATAAACACACACAGCCAAACACAACCCTTCTGTATCATGATTCCTTCCCTGAAACCCGGCACTCTCTGTGAAAGTATGTGTCCATATGCTCTGAAACATTACCCACTGGTCATTTGGGCGGTAGCTTTAGGAACAAAAACAAAACCAACAATTTTATATAAACTGTGGTACTTTGTGGGGGCCAAGACAAATCCACATGTCAAGTCAATGACAATGAATGCTAAAAACAGTCTCTGATCAGTTGGAGGCAGCTAGACTCCAGTATGGGAGGTCAGCGCAGGCTGATGACCACAGGGAAAGTAGTAATTCTGTGTCCTGAGGACAGACAGCTGCCCATGCCATGTGGACTATGCACGGGAGCTTACTTATTGTTTCTTTGTTTAAAATCTCTGCAAACAATCTGAAGTATTTCACCTCATTTTGTGTCTATAGGCAGATCTTTGGATGTTGGAGGCCTTTAATGCAAAGGTCAGGTCAGAAGGTCCAAAAAAGAATAAAGTATGCAGCTAACTTTCATATGAATGGGCATCTGTCAGCTTCTGTCCACTGGGAGAGGAAATACCTGGAGGTGTGAGTTTACAGGAAAAATACGCTTCCATTTTATTCAAAGAGATAAAAGTAATAAAAGTCCTGCGGTTTTAAATTTTAAAACTAACACAGGTTTGACGCCATTCCCTGAAGGCACCACAAGAATCTTAAAACCAACAACACTGACGGTGAATGGCTGCTTAGCTCCCTGAATTCCAACTCAGCCTGTGAGTCTTCAGAGTGTGACAGCTGATGGGGGAATGTATAAACCAACGTCCATGCATAGAATTTATGGGTTTCAGAACGAAGGGTACTCAAACAGCACTCTACCCCTACATACACAGGACATTAACAAAATGGTTGTAAGTTAAACAATGTTCAGTTTGTGAAGCACAGACCAATCATTGAATAAACTATTCCCTTCAGATAATGACGACTAAAGACTTTTGACCCACAGTGATAATCGGCTCACTAAAAGAGGAATATTCATTGTGCGCAGATGAGTATGAGGATGGTAGTTCATTTTAAGAATAATGCTGCATTGGGTTGTGATCTAGAGTTGAATCAGGTGAGGGTGAGGGAGCAACGCCAGCTACAGTCCTACATCTGGGTCTACTCAGAATGCAATCAGGCACAGTATTAAGCGTGGGTTACCATGTTTTGGCAGCAAACAGAAACAATCACATAATTACTGTAAGTTATACATGTAAATGTAAGATGGAAGGAATTAGACTGGAAAGTACATCAAGGGTTGCATGTGAGCGTGTTTAGTGTGAGTAAAATGCAAAACGCAAAGGGGATGCACTAACATTTCACAATATGACTACATTTGGAAAGAGTGACACTCTTCCACAAAAGTGGAGGAAAAATTCAAACCATCCTGAGAGCCTGGACCATTTAAATCAATGTTTTTTGGTCTTTAGTGTCCACCCACTTTTATTTTGAAGGACTCCCTTCCATGAGCCCCAGAAGTTTGAAGGATACCAGCTGCACTCTGTTTTTTTTAACATATACATCTATCTTTTGTCAGCTGACATTGAGGAATTCCAGATGGCCTAACAGAGCACTTTCTTTGGATAAGTCCAAACATTAACAGCATTTCGATCAGATATAACATTCTTGGAACCCACCTCCAGAGTTGAGGTAGCGCTTGCCACTGCGGATCGAGGGGTACTTGTCAGCCAGCCGCTTATCCGGCCATATCAGGCCCTCTGCAGCGAAGAGCACTTTGTGATTGGCTTGCTGGAACTTCCTGAGAATCTCCTCCGGCCCCCCAGCAAAGATAAGATCATAGCTAAAAGGGAGGAACAAAGAAGAAATACAGATATAACAGATCATTATCCATCAGTCTGACAAGAAACCCTGTGCTTGTACACGCTCCACGCAGATTATAATCTCAATGTAAATAGTAGACATTCTTCATTGGTGGGCATTTGTACAGGCAGGCAAGCTCAGTGACGGATCGAGGAAAATGTTGCTAACCCTTTTCAGAGACATCGTGGTGACGCCAGCTATTAAAGAAAGGTCAGATATTCTAGGACGTGAAAACTCCAAAATGTGTCTGGTGATTTTACAGTTTTGAAGTCCTAACAGTAAAACAGCTGAATCATTCAGCTGACACCTTCCCCCACAGAGTCACTGACAATAAAACACCCTCTTTTAGACTTTTAGACTGTGATTCAGCACACACTGATCTAAAAATGTCTGATCCCAAAATAAGAAATCATGTACTTCATACAAACTGGTTTATATATGGTGGCAGGAAAAGGTGGAAAGACAACCAACCACCTTCTTGGATAACCTGAACCACCTCAGGCATGTCATGAGAGGAAGCACAGTCAAACATAGGTCACAAAGCCTCCTGCACGCTGCTGTCCACATCTGGGCCACACATGTTTATACAGGCACCCTCTGCCCCTTGTTAAGTCGTAAATCACAGTAAACGCTGCGGTATAAAAATGATCTCCAGTCCTAAAGAAAACAATCAGGATGATGTTTAAAAAATTCATTGTAGAAAAATAAACGTAGGGTTGAGAACAAACAGTTTCTTATTGTGTTTGTAGGTGTTGCCTGTATTACCTAAGAGAATGAAAAGATGGCTATACATTTATCTGCTTCTTTAAAGGAGATCTATTCTGCTGATCTATATTTCAACATATAATGTTACGATATCCGTACTAAACCTTGGAAACGTTTTTTTTTAAAACATCATACACAGTTGTTGATGTAATCCCCGGACGTGATTTCCTGCTGCTCTGAACGAGACTTTAAGAGAACTCGGTGAGACTTGGCCAGAACCTGACGTCTCAGAGCAAAGCATGGAGCAAAGTCGTAGGACACGCCCACCCCCAGCAGCTCTTTCAAGGACACACCCGCCTGGAAGATCACTGAAATGTACCTGCGATTGAAAACAGAGTCGGCCAATCAGAGGAAAGTGGAGACATGGGGAGGCGGGCCTTAAAGAGACAAATGAAGCGTTTCAGGCAGAGGCTGACATGAGGGATTTTACTGACGCCAGTATCAGGTTAATAAGGAGGTTTTTGAGCTATCTACAGCATCTACAACGCTACTCAACAGGAGTCCCAGAGTGACATCATTAAAGGCAGAAGTGAAAATAATAGAACTCCTTTAAGAGTAGCCAACTTTTGTGTCCCTTTAATATTTGGACCCACGCAGTTTGTGGAAATTGATGGTTATTCAGTTCAAAAATCTTTTAATATATTTCATAATCATGAGTACATTTTCCCCAAAAGGAAAACAGAACTATTCCATGTACCTGTGTTGAGGGTGTGGCAACGTTTCACACCAAATATAGCTCACATTATTCAAGCGACGTGATGCAGTGAGTATCATCATCATCATCATCATCATCATCATCATCACCAGCTGCTCTATTTGAAGAAAGCTGTTATTATTCCAAACCACTAACATTATCTCTGTCAAACTTTCCACTGGCCTTGAAAACTCAGCTCCTATAATTCAGCTACCTGCATGTGAAAATGACTCCTCTCGTACATTTACTCATGCTCTATAATAATGATCTTTTTACACAAGTGAGCAGAGGGGGCGTTTAAGTGCTGCTGCATAAGTGGGCAGAACACGGCTTTCACACCGAGGGAGGGATCAAATTCAAAACAATCATTAAAGTCTGTGATTTATGAAAATGAGTTTAATTTCTAATTCATAGATCTGCACAGCAATTAGAGGTGTTTTGATTCCCTTTCTTGTCATGGAGGTGTTTGTGTGTAAATCAGAACAAAGCTCAAAACTAACTGACAGCTCGACATCTTTGGTAGAAATACACACAAAGCAAGAACAGAGAAAAAAAATTAGAGTTTGATCTTTTTTCTTTATTATATTTGGCTGCTTACATCAAAGAACTAGCCGCTTAGAAAAAGTTGTTTTCTACCTCTCAGGGTAGATTGTCAGCGACTATTAAAAAACAGTCACAGAAAAAGGAAGTGTTGGTTATACATGCACATGGTCTCATGGAGCTAAACAGACAACTTACCTGTCCACAGAAAGGACGACCAGATCCTCCTGCTCAGCCAGAGCCTCCATGGCCTCCTTCAGTAGTCTGACCTTTTGTCCTCCGCCGATGGAGCGACCCACATCACCACCTTTCCATGGGTCCCCCATTCCCAGCACCTGAGACAGAACAGGTGATGAACCAGCTGAGGAGCCCAACATGAAACAGCTTAACAACAGCAGAGTTCAAAAGAGAAGCCAGCACTTCAACATAGCCTGTTTCCTTAATGTCTGATCATACAGTAAGGTCACTTTATCATTAAGTTCATATCTTACTGATGATCCTTTACGAGGCTGGCTCTCATAATATTGTGGTGCATATAAAGCCTGATGGACACTTTAAAAAAATTAAAGAATAGCATTAAATTGACTTCAAAGTTAATTAAAAAGGTCTCTTGCAAAAACCACTCTAGGTTTGACCAAAAAAAAGTTTCATATAGGAAGCATTTACGTCCTGCAGGAGAGAGACAGAAGACCACACAAAATGCTCGGGTGCACCAACTGTGACTTTTTACTTTGGCTTCAACCACACGGGGAAACTCTGGACCCGCACTGAGGAGTATCCCTTTAAGATGGATGTTTTTCGCGAGCTTGCCACACCTCATTGTTCCCTTTAAGAGGCCCAATCAATCATGTGTGATTCTAAGGCTTGGTGTGTTTGAGAGAAGCATCGTTAGCTGGGAGGACCGCCCGTTTGTTGACAGAATTTTGAGGAGACAGACGTACCTTCACAGTGTAGTTGAAATAGTTTGCAGACTTCATAAAGCGCAGGAAGCCATCTGTTTCCTCGGTTGCAACAGTTAGGACCAGCAACTTTTCTAAAAAAAAAAAAAAGAAAGAAAAACAAAAATCCCACAACTGAACTCATGTGTCTTATAAAGTCATCACATATTTTGGCAACCAAATTACAGGGATGTGGGGATGTTCTCTCGCAGCTGAATATTGTAACATTTTATGGTATTGCTAAAGAGGTCTAACATTTGGATATTTTTATGGGATAATGTTGGCTTCAGGATGTCCGCAGGAATATGTTAGAATATAGAGGTACTTATATATATAAGCATAGAGAGTCCATCTTCTGTGAAGCAAGCTCCTTGTAAACCTCAGACCAATGTCAACAAACTGGTAACTGCTTGGCTTAGCAGTCTAAACCTACATCTCAAATTAGCTCCATCGACTGTAGTCTATTTGATTCAAAATGGAGGCATACATTTAGACACAGACTTAATCATTTCTTTCCTGTTGGAGACTCCCACAAAGCTGCAGGACATTTCCACCGGCCATGAGTTCAGAAGTCTGAGGTTTGAAGACGGGTTAGACCAAGTACAAATTAGCACCATAGCCTCATGTGAAGCTAGAGAGAGGCGGGCTAAACCCACAAAGCTGCTTTTCACTTCTTCTGTTATGTTTCGTCAAACCAAACCGGGGGGTGGACTTGATTAGAAAGTGCCAAGGAAGGAAGAACCCTGGACTTCCAGATCCTGTTGTTGCATTTGTGGAGGAGAAATCATTCACTTCATCTTCCCTAAACGGTGCAGAATGCTGTTCTGTACCAGAAGTCCGACATGACCAACAAAAAGTTAATGACACTTTAATAAGCTTTTATACGACCACTTGAATACCAATCCTGCGTTTCATGTCTTGAGAGCCAATCTGCATTTAATTTAAAATACAACACTAGCTTTCCACTGAAGCCTTGTAAATCATTTATTGGACATTGGCAAGTTAGATTGAAAGTATGCGAGTGAACATGTCAGGTGCCTGTAATGGACCCAGAAGTGCACTCTGCATTTAAAGAGCTTGAAATTCACCTTAGAATACAAAGATTAAGAGGTGGTCATCATTTATTTTGGTGAACACGGCTTCATCATGATTGGTCTTTTTGACTGCACAACAAATCTCAACAAACCGAGAAAGGATGTTTGCTGACGTTTTATCAGGCTTTAGAATCTAAAAAGGTAAATGCAAGTACTGGACAATAGCGCTTTGTGGTCTAAAATGTTTTTTTGTACTTTCATCTACCCAGATGAATTAAACAAAGCAAAGGGGCCTATTTTAAGGCATTTTTTGTCCAAAAGGACAATATCAACCATCCTTCACCCACTCCTTCAAACTAAAGTGTGTCCTTGCAGCTCTTTCCCATCCACTCTCCATCAATGTGACTGAGCCGTTCTCTTATCCATGTCTAGCCTGTGGCCATGTCTTTGCTTTAACAGTCGTTCCAGTTCTCCTCTGACACAAAGGTTTCTGTTTCAGGTTTGGAAACAGCTCCCAGTATGCCTGTAACCTAACAGCTTCAGAAAACATTTATGGCAAAGGAACTGGGCTGATCCAGAGCAACATGAAATTCAACTTAGCCCAAGCAGTAAACAGGGGGGGAAGAGGGGCGTGGATAATGAGCCCACAGGAGCGTCCCTGTCTGAGGCTTGAGCTTGGTGCAGGGAGTTTATGATGTGTCTTACATTTGGAAAATACATTTCCCATTCAGCTTTGTAGAACAAGGGACTTTAATGGTTACAGGGTAAGTTTATAAGCTTCTTTTCCCCCCTCTCCCAGTGACTACATTCGACATGTGCTTTTATCAAGACCAACCCATTTGGAACAAAGTCGCAATGAATAAACACTTCTTCATTTTTACTTTATGAAGCGGGTCTTTCTGGAAGACTACCTTTTTGAATATTGGTAGTAAGAAACACTTTTACACATAGACTCTCCTGAAAGTATATGCTTCTGATTGGCCTACCCAAATAATCCGACCCAACCAACCAATGAAGGCAACAAGTAACAAAGTGCGCAACTTTGGGTACAGATAACAGGACCTTCAGGTTCACTGTTCCTGCAGTTTGGAATCTGCTGCAGGAGAGTTTGGGTCTGGGGGAGCTGATCTCCTCAAATCATTATAAAGTAGACTAAAGGTGTTGGGAGGAGGATGCATCAGGTTGTAGATGCATTGACTAATGACTTTCTGCTCCGTGACCATGAACATGTTGACCTGTGTTTATAATTTTGTATGTGTCTTATGTCTGTAACTTTGTTAGTGTTGCAGACTTAAACATGCAACAAACAGCTCTGAACAAAACACACCCAGCTCTGCCACCCACAGTGAACAGCATGTTCTGCTGGGGTTTCTTTGAAATATTGGAGACCTCCATGAATACTTTCTATTTCATAATGCTGTGATTCCAGCAAGGACATGAGATTTTATTCCCTCAACAGATGGTTTCAATTTATTTTTGTGCTCACATGAAATGGGAACTGAAAACCAGTAGCTTTGTTTGTATTTAACCATTTGAAACCAGTGGTAAGCTGCGTGTTGCGATCCATGATCCCAATTAGCCCCTCACCCCCTCTGGCTTTACCCGAAACCTTTTGGGAGCCACACACGCTTTCCCCTTGTTGTAAACATGCAGACCACATGACTGCATCCCAACAGGCAAGCTTCCAGTTAAGAACAGCTCGCAGACGGTTTAGAAGCATGAGACAGACACTTTTATTTTCTAAATTAAAACTTGTTGTTCAAACACTTCAATGCGGTCTCTTTAATGGCTTTTTTTTAAATTACTATGGATTTACAGTATCCTCCTCCAAACTAGGGCTGGAAAACCGTGGCTGGAAATGATAGTACTGTATCCAGATACCATATAATGAGACTGGAAGATTTATGATACATCAGTTCTTTCCAAGCTGAGCCACTGAATCTTGTTTGTGTTCAATTGAAGTCAGACTGGAGGGTTGTCAAAATGCCACTTAAAGTCCAGAATTTGGGGCTTTCTATACATCTGATTCTTATTGTACAATCAAATTTCATAATAAAACATTTATCACGGATGTGGCTCACTGGTAGTCGGTTGTCTCTCAACCAGAAGGTTATGGGGTTTGATGTCCAGCTCCTGCAGCTACATGTGGGATGTGTTTTTGGGACACTTAACCCCCTAGTTGCTCCCACTGCTTGGTTGGTGGCGTTTACATGTGAATGAATGGCCATCAGTGTGTGAGTGTGTAGGTGTGACCTGCAGTTTTAAAGCGCTTTGAGTAGCCAGAAGTGCAACATAAGCCTCGAGTCCATTTGTGTTGAAGTTATTCTTACTAAAGAGTATCATAAAGCAGATTATGTGACTGTTCACCAGCCAATCACAGAGCTGACATATAGAAACAGACAACCAGACACACTCACATTCACACCTACAGACAATTTTACAGTCAGCCGTTAACCTAACGAGCATGTCTTTGGACTGTGGGAGGAAGCCGGAGTACCCGGAGAGAACCCACACATGCACGAGGAGAACATGCAGACTCCACACAGAGAGACTCCTGTCAGACAGGGATTCAAACCAGGAACCTCCTCGCTGTGAGGCGCTAACCACTGCACCACCGTGAAGCCCACATCTTAGGCCCAGGTGTTGTTGATTTCTTTGCTTTTAGACCTAAGCCAACCCTGAAGTGAAATGGATCTCTTTTAAAGCATTTAGACAATATATCGGTTTCTGTCTGTAAAGTTAGCATGCATCGTATAGTTTTAGTGTTCAAATGAGTCCCTAAGGAGAGAAGACAACATGATTTTATCTCTGCAAAGAGAAGTGAAGAAGTTAAAAAAAAGAGCCTTCCAATCTTCTTACAAAATGTAATCCCGCCCATTGGTCAAACTCTTTCATTTATATAAAGAGCATAAACACCAATAACTAAGCATACCTTACGGGCAGATGGCACTATAAAAGGAGAGTTTTCAGACAGCCATGGTTTTGTTGGATAAGTGTCTACTCAGAGTAAACACGACACACTCTCATGTCAGTCCTGTAAGAACAACCCACAGGAGGAAAGGAATGCAGCTCCTACAGTACTGCTGTAACTCCTGTCCAAGAAAGGCGATCGGCGCCAAGCCGTCTTCCCCCCCTCTCTCTCTCTGTACCACATGGGGCTCAGCCGTCTAGGTCAACTTTCACACTCCAATGAGCAAAAGTTCTGACACTCTGTCCTGGGAAAAAAGCCTCAGTAAGCACTTTTTGTAGAATAACGGAAAGAAGTATCATGTGAATGTTTACCGGCCTTGGACAAAAGGATCATATGATCTCTCCTGCCTGAAGATCACCAAGATTGTCTGAAATAGTTCCAGGAAAAGACCATTGCAACTTTTTCAGTTAAAGGCTTTATATGTGATTTTTTGATCCAGCAGATGTCGCCCTTGAGCACCAGCATGAAACCAAAACAACTCGCGCTGCATTGTTGTGTTAGCATGCTAAAGCTAGTGATCTTTATTATGCTGGTATCTTCACACTGCATGTAAATTTACCTGAAATGAGCGTGATCTAGAAACACAGTTAAGCAGTGAGTACAGTATGTTATTCTTCTTTTCTCTAGTCCCTCAATTAAACAACTTTTATACACGAGGGGAGGAGTCAGACAGCCGTCCGGGCGATGTAAACAAACTGAAGATAGGACTCTGAAAACTCTGAAAACATCACAGACAGTGGGACTCGGGTGTTACACCCATTGTAGACAGTCATGACTCACAGAGTTATTTTTAGAGGAGATACTTGATTTCTATTACATGTATGTGATGTTATGTAAGTGTGAAAAATCACATATTCAGCCTTTAAAGGCCCACATTCTTGTCCTTCTCATGTATTTCACAGACTCTACCTTTAATCTCATTGTGGACATGTGGACACTATCAGTAACAACAGCCTTTTCTGAAAGTGATTCACCATCATAACAATCCAACAGCACAATATTGGTGTGAAGGTCTGGGATTCCTCATTATTACAGCATTGTGGGAGTGATGTTGTTTAAAGAAACACTGGCAGCTCCACATACACAGATC